TTGTTGAATCTGAGACTGATACATTTCTTGAGAGTCCAAGATGATAGGCTTGAATGCTTTATATAAATATTGGTATACTTTCAGGTAGAAGCCAGGTAAATTGCTGATCAGCAGGATATACCTGTGTAGGACAGACAGATGAATATACAAGTAATAATGCAGTGATAAATGTAACTGTTTTTAGAATTGAATTTTCTGGGTAATAGCTTCTGCGGTTGTCCTGGTAAGTTTGATTTCTTCTCACACTTTGATGTTTTTTTTGTGATTGGCTGATACAGAATTAGCCAGTGCCAAAAGTATTAAATATACTTTTAACCTAGGATGATGGGATTTGTGTTATATTGCAAATTACACCTCATCCCCTTAATAACACAACAGGGTCCAAATATATAGGCCACACTATAACCATAGACACATGCTACTAAAGGACCTGTGGAAATGAAGAAGGAAATGCCATGCTGGCTAGACATTCACAAGACTGTTTAATTGTGAAATACTTATTTTATAATGGTGTTGGAAAGAGCTGTCAATAAACAGCTTTTTGTAATGAAATTGCTCTCTTTTCAGTACAAATTGCCTTTACTTTTAGGGTATCCAACCTCTGAAAAAAGAGAAAAACATCTCCAAGACTTTTGAACACTTGTACATGTGTGTCTCATTGATTAGCTGCAAACAATTGTGTATACCATCACTGCGTTTTGCACAACACAACAAGATTCCTTTTTTAAAAACAAGAGATACTTTTGTCATTCAACTGTCAACATTAAAACTTTGTAAAATTGTATTATTATTGAAAATTTGATGCATTAATTTTAGCTTCTGCTCATCTCTGAGTGTCAATTTTAATTTTAAGTTCACTTTAAACTTTTGGAACTCACTTTTCCATAATGAACTATATCTATCAAATAAAGCTTTGACTTCACTGGGTACTACTTTCTCTTGGTTGCCTTGCTATTTTTGATCACAGTTGTGAATATCTTGGACAATTTTATGGTAATTTAATAGGTACTTAAACAATAATATTTATTACGGTCTTTGAGGGGACTGTACACATGGCCCTTGACATCTAGCTTTATATATTATGCAAGTAGGATTTGTTTGCCCTTTAACTTTTTATTTTTTCCAATCCATTTATTTGATTTGATACAAAAATCATAACTAAAGTAATACTGCAAGAAACAGGTCTGCTTTTAATAGAGTGTAGCAATACCACAAATACTTCTGCAAATCAGATATAAAAACATAGTTGGCAGTTAATTAGGCTTAACAGAAACACCCATGGACATAGCTGTAACAGAAGATTTACATTTTTTGTTTGAGTAGAAGAGGGCTTATCATATTTTTGATAATTACACTTAAACCAAATTAAAATGTATGATTAAAATAACATTACCTTGAAAGTGCTGCCATAGGCAGACAATAGTGACATTAGTTATACATGGTAGCCATTATAATGGTGGAGAAAAAACCCATTTAAAACTCGGTAAGAACCAACAACTTTCAGGAAGTTAATGACAAGCTTTCTAACATACCCACTTTTTGGCTGAACTTAGAACTCAAATATATGTGGACAGAGATGAGATGACAGTAATCGGTAAAGGCCTCAACCACTTGGACACCCCAGGTCCCATATTTTTTTGTAAATAAATAAATAAATTGTTAAAAAATATAGGACTTCTTGAACACCAATTAATTGTATTTTCTCAGGTGAAATTCGTGTTTTATTCTAAGAATTCTGTTTCCATGTAAACAGTATCATTGCGGCAAATTCTTTTTCATTAATACAATAAAACAGTCGATGCACAATCATACAGATATGTATGAACACTTCCATGTAAACCTAATTATGTGCCTGCTGTGTCTTGCCGTACAGCTTGGTGAAGTGTTTGTTGCATTATAAAATTAATTGCAAGAGACCTGTGTTGTTTTATCACATTAAGTTTTTGGTATGAAATCAAGTAAGGTATGCATTAAAAAATAGTTAAAATGAATGCAAATCCTCCTTATATATATATATATATATATATATATATATATATATATATATATATATATATATATATATATATATATATATATATATATATATATATATATATGAGCCATATCCACCATGAGCCATTATAATGAGCCAAAAAGTTTTATCATAATGTCACTCTATTTTTCGGTATTGAAAATATCATGTTTCATTAGTCATAAGTCATTTTGTACAATGTGCACTTAAAATGTGTCCAGCCAAGTCCCAATGCCAAGGTCAAGGTCAAAGAGAAAGAAAATTCCTTTTTTTCTGCTGACCATCACAACAAACACGTCTTAACTGAGATACATAACTGTAAATTAATTATATATATAATATATATATATATACAGTTGATTATGGTAAATGTGTCACTCTGTGTTGGTTATCTGTATTAGATTGAATTGGAAATGTATATATGTGGACCAGTAGAATGGTTTTCAAACAACAGTTTATAATTTTTTTTCTTATTGTGTCAGATCTGATGAGGATGATTTATGATAAGAAAATGATGTTATGTCATGCCCAAGGATGTTTGCCCATTTGACACACTTATACTGGTGCAAATACAATTATATTTGTCTTATTTGCAACAGGTGCATTTGACTTATTGATATGTGATTGTTATATTTGGTGAAATGTAACATAATGCTGAATAATACCTTTGAAATATTGCTTTTTGTTTATTTCAAAGTAATCAGATATTTTAACCAAATATTTATAACCAGCTTTTATGAATGATTAAAATTATATCATGTGATCCAGAAAGTTAAAAGTTGTTAATTAACAACACCAGAAAGGAACCTCTTCCGTATGCATACACCCAATCTTGTGCACTTTTACAGTATTCGTAAAAAGTGGTTAAAAGATAATTACTGTTATTTAGTTTTCAAGATTAATTATTATTTTTAGAAGTATATTTAACTGTAGAAATTTGACTTCATGGTTTATAGAATCCAGGAAGACTGTATGTTCAAGAATGGCCACTGGCAATCTGTACATGAATGGCCTTTATTTTGCTCTGGCCATTCATGTTTTCAATCTTTTTACTTTAAATGAATGCAGAAAATATGCAATTAAGTACATTAATGAAAACAATGAAGTTTATAATTAGGGGAAAAAAATCTGCAATCTATTAAATAGATTATTTTGTGACAATTGGATCTATTATAATACATTGAGTCCATATATTAAGCCCACATACTTTCTTGCTGGCTTGAATAATGTTACATTTCAATCCTTTTGCTTAGAAGGTTTAATGTGATGATATTTAACTTTGTTAACTCCTACAGACCCATTCCCATTCTTCATTTTGATTTTTCTTTTAAAATCTTCCCACTGCATTCATTTTTCTCCATGAAGACCAATCATGTTTCAGACAAAACCACTTGTAAAATGGCTTTATTGTCAATGGTAGACAAGTGGTCATGGAAAATTATTCAAGCAGTAATGGTTGATTTCAAAAACTGAAAATCTATCATTGTAAGGAAAAATAACTCTAGTAATTGCTTTTATTCAAACTTAAACAGCATGTCTTAAGAGTTATCATTTAAAATGGTAATCTCTTTTAGGAAAAATCTATAATTTGTGGAGTGTCACAAGGGTCAGTTTTAGGTCCACTTTTATTACAAATTTGTAATCAGTGATCATGCATCTTTATCAAATGCAAAGGAATCACAAAGTGAACACAAATGTTCTCTGAAATGTGCATTGAATGAACTTCAGTCTGATTTTGATGAAAATGAAATGCTATTTAATACAGACAAAATTTTTACTTATCGTTACCAGAGGTGATAGAGATTATGGAATAAGCATTAGTCTTTTATATGTTGATACCCAGCTTACATATGGTAAAGGGGCTCCAAGTAGCTGAGTGGTCTAAAGTGCTTACCATTCTGGATTACCACCATCTCACCTCTGTTTGCATGGTTCAAGTCTTGGGCTCTGCTAATATGGGTACATGAGAAAGTTTGCCAGTATCTTCTTATGGGTCAGTGTTTCTTCCCGGGATTTTCCAGGGTACTTCCTTCACAAGTTACACTAGTTACCATGAGCCTATCTTGTGCTGAAAAATGGCTTTAAACCCTATAACAACAACAAGATATGATGAATAATGATACAGGTTGTGTACATGTGGATAAGAGCTTCCTGTGGAAGAAGCATACCAATCACATCATTACACCAAATTCAAAATAGGAGTCTATTGAAACATAGCATTATGTTCTACCAAAAAGAAAATTCAGCCACATTTTTTTACTTGCAATAATTTGTGGGGTACTTTTTACAAACCTACAAAACCTACTAAAGTAAAACTTTAAAGTCATACTTGATATTCCATTCAAGAAAAGGTTTGAAGCAATAGAAGACCTAAAATTGTTATATGCTATATATACTTGATTATAAGTAAAAATCCAAATGCAAACATAGACCTTAATATGCCATCCCATAATGCAAGTGCAGATCAGGGTTAATGTTGTTTGATCTAATGATTACCCTTGATATGCCATCCCATAATGCAAGTGCAGATCAGGGTTAATGTTGTTTGATCTAATGATTACCCTTGATATGCCATCCCATAATGCAAGTGCAGATCAGGGTTAATGTTGTTTAATCTAATGATTACTCCTAACAATCTGCATTTACCCTGATTTACCAGCACATTATGCAATGTTACATCTGGGTCTGTGCAGTTTGCAATTGAACTCAACTTATAAGTGACCATAAAGGTTTACATTAGAGTACATTTTTATAAAAAAAACAAAATTAAGTATAAAATATCAACAAATCCTGAATATCTACTTTATCTTTTAATAATTGACTGCAGCAGGACAATACACATACTCCTAAATTATATTTTTTAATTGAGAAGAGCAGGACAATACTCAATCTTGTAAATTATAATTGTAATAAAGTGGAGCAGTACAATACATGTACTATTAAATTATCTTTATAAATGACTGCAGCAGGACAATACACATACTTGGACTGCTCTGGTGGCCTAGTGGTTATGGTGTCCACCTTGGATGCAGGAATTTGTGGGTTCAAACCCTGGCCATGTCATACCAAAGACTATAAAAAATGACACTAACATCTGCCTTGGTAGGTGATCAGCAGAAAGAGGTTAATGTTAGGACTGGTCAGCCTAGTCTCAGTTTAACGTGACTGGGTGGGACATGCTGCTACATGTCTGCAACATGATGACCCAGTCCTGTATATCACTATAAACTGCCACACTGCAGATATTGTAGTGATATGACTGAAAAAAAAAACTGTTAAAGTTATGTTAAAAATCCATATAACACACCCACCCATAAATTATCTTTTTAATTGACTGGAGCAGAACAATAAACATACTCCTAAATTATGTCTTACTTGACTGGAGCAGAAAAACATACAAAGTTTGTCTTTTGCAGTAATATATAAATATATATATATATATATATATATATATATATATATATATATATATATATATATATATATATATATATATATACATACATACATACATACATACATACATACATACATACATACATACATACATACATCCATCCATCCATCCATGCATTCATGCATGCATGCATGCATACATACATACATACATACATACATACATACATACATACATACATACATACATACATACATACATACATACATACATACATACATACATACATACATACATACATACATACATACATTCAATTAAATTATATCTGAATTAATTAGAGAAGGACAATAAATACACATACTACTAAATTATTTATATTTGACTTCAGTAGTAAACTATATGCTTCTAAATAATTTCACTTTTTAATTGGCTGGAATGGACAATACACAGACACCTAAGTTCATTGTTATTTAAAGCAAAATTGGTTTTGAATAATAACTTTTGTTTTAGATTAAGTTCTTTCACTAGCCTTTGTGCATGGTTTGTGCTTAGGGTGAGTCAGAAATCTATAGATTTAAAGGTGTACAGTTGAAAGTTGAAGCTCATGGTAAGTCAAAAAGAATAGAATGATTTCTGCACCACAAACTTAGTCCAAGATGGCACTTATCAAAGGTAAAGGTTAGTGGGACCTCTGGAACAATATTGTCCAAAGTTAATCATACCCTACTGGTCATTACACAAATCACTGTTAACATGGATGTGTATATAATATGCTCTACTAGTTATTACACAAATCAGTTAAACATGGATGGGCATATAATATGCCCTACAAGTGATTACAAAAAATCAGTTAAACATGGATGGGTATATAATATACCCTACTAGTGATTAAACAAATCCCTGTTAACATGGATGGGTATATAATATACCCTACTAGTAATTACACAAATCACTGATAAAATGGATGTGTATGTAATATACCCTACTAGTGATTACACAGATCACTGTTAAACATGGATGTGTACATAATATACCCTACTAGTGATTACACAAATCACTGTTAACATGGATGTATATATAATATGCCCAACTAGTGATTACACAGATCACTGTTAAACATGGATGTGTATATAATATACCCTACTAGTGATTACACAAATCACTGTTAACATGGATGTGTATATAATATACCCTACTAGTGATTACACAGATCACTGTTAAACATGGATGTATATGATCACACAAATCGCTGTTAAACATGGATGTGTATACCCTACTAATGATTACACAAATCACTGTTAACATGGATGTGTATATAATATACCCTACTAGTGATTACACAGATCACTGTTAAACATGGATGTGTATATAACATACCCTACTAGTAATTACACAAATCACTGTTAAAATGGATGTGTATGTAATATACCCTACTAGTGATTACACAGATCACTGATAAACATGGATGTGTATGCTTACACAAATCGCAGTTAAACATGGATGTGTATACCCTACTAATGATTACACAAATCACTGTTAACATGGATGTGTATATAATATACCCTACTAGTGATTACACAGATCACTGTTAAACATGAAAGTGTATATTATTTTTTTAAACTTACACTACTAGTAATTACACCAATCACTGTTAAACAACATGGATGTGTATATAATATACCCTACTAGTGATTACACAGATCACTGTTAAACATGGGTGGGCATATAATATACCCTACTAGTGATTATACAGATCACTGTTAAACATGGGTGGGCATATAATATACCCTACTAGTGATTATACAGATCACTGTTAAACATGGATGTGTATATAATATACCCTACTAGTGATTATACAGATCACTGTTAAACATGGATTGGCATATAATATGCCCTACTAGTGATTACACAGATCACTGTTAAACATGGATGGGTATATAATATACCCTACTAGTGATTACACAGATCACTGTTAAACATGGATGGGCATATAATATACCCTACTAGTGATTACACAGATCACTGTTAAACATGGATGGGTATATAATATGCCCTACTAGTGATTACACAGATCACTGTTAAACATGGATTGGCATATAATATACCCTACTAGTGATTACACAGATCACTGTTAAACATGGATTGGCATATAATATGCCCTACTAGTGATTACACAGATCACTGTTAAACATGGATTGGCATATAATATGCCCTACTAGTGATTACACAGATCACTGTTAAACATGGATGTGTATATAATATACCCTACTAGTGATTACACAGATCACTGTTAAACATGGATTGGCATATAATATGCCCTACTAGTGATTACACAGATCACTGTTAAACATGGATTGGCATATAATATGCCCTACTAGTGATTACACAGATCACTGTTAAACATGGATGTGTATATAATATACCCTACTAGTGATTACACAGATCACTGTTAAACATGGATTGGCATATAATATGCCCTACTAGTGATTACACAGATCACTGTTAAACATGAATTGGCACATGCTATACTTGACAGGATACTCTTATTATTAGGTGGGAATATCTTTTGTTTCCATGAAAGGATTAGCTTGTGTTAATGGAAGACATGAAATACTCCCATCGGTTGATACTCAAAAGGATGAAATGTCAAGGCTAGAGGGGACATTTGTATGTGATTTTTAAAGGCCAAAGCAGCATTGTCACAAGAAAGTCAATAAACCTTGAAATTGTCTGCTTACCATTTCAAAAATCTAAGTTAAACTGAAATAATTCTAAATGGAACAGTTTTGGGGTTGAGGTAATAACTTATGGTAGGTAATCAAAAAAGAATAATTAGGAAATGTCTTTAGTGATATTTGTGATATAAATATTTCTTAATCAGAATACATGCCATTTTGTTTTTATTAAATAAAGATAATTTCTTAATTGAAACAGAATTTTAATTAAGGTCAAGTAAGAACTATGATCAGTTTGATCATTTCTACTGTTTAGAAAAGTCATACATAAAAGACATCATAGTACCTGTAAATGAATAGCATCATAAGGGAAAATGTGAATGTCCCATTTTGCTTTCAGGTATATTTGATATACAATTTCACCAATAACCCAGAATAAATTACCAGTAAATGCATAATTCATTAACTAAGTTGTGGTCCTTTTTGAAGGTCTTTAATACTTTATAAACTCATATTGATCATGGTAGTATTCATTTTGCTGAATGAGAACAAAATGTTTAATGAATCAGAATTACAGTTAGTAACAATAGCTTTTAACTGTAATGAACACATTCCCATCAAGAGTAATGGGTTGAAGAGAATGTGGTGTATTATAAAACCTTATACAAGATGGGAATCCCATTGAGATCCCATAGCAGTATACAGCATTGGTTGCTACAATTACTCCATGGATTCCAATCATGCCCTTGTAGGAATAGCTCCAGTAGTATTTGTTTATCTGGGTGAGATTTCTGGGCTTATTATGAATCCTTGTCAGATCCTTTTAGGTTGCTATCATTTCTTGGATTAATCAGGATTATCTTAGATTTACTCCTATGCCCCAAGATCTCTAATACAGCATTATTTTTCACACACACCCATTGAGTTAGCTTCAGTATATACTAGGGACTCTTGGATTTTGCAGTGTCCTGGTGGTAGGTAAAAATATTAGTTACAAAATTCAGGTGAACTTATGCCAATGTGCATATGATGAAATTTTTCTTGCATGCAGACACTTGTGTATGAAGTACACCTGTCCATTATGATTGGCATCCTGAAATCTTTTTTTTTTTAATTATTGTATATGATTACATTATACCAGTGAGAGACACTATTTCATTGGCTGATGCAATATTATTCTATACCTCATAAATAGTCCCATTAGTTTAACATTGTGGCTAGGGATCGATACTCAATGATATTGACCGTTGTTAAGTAAAATTATTCACCTGTTCCTTACCTAATCAATAATGTGTCCACATTCAGTGAAATACTTCTGGCAACTGCTAATCAAAATGGTGATGGAAACATTATATATATTAAATGTGATTTTTTGTGATTTTTATTTATTTTAATTTTTACACCATGGGGAAAAAAGTGCTAGGTCAGCAATAAGAAGCAGTGATGGGTGACCAACCAGAAACACATATTTTGGCCTACCATATCATAATGATTAATATGCTTGTCTTTAAATGTGTAATAAAAAGGGTATTGACTGGGTATTAGAAAACAAATTTGGCCCTCATTCATGTGGCATAGAATATCCTCTCAAGCTTGAACATCCTTTACCACATGACCAGAGTTCCAATGTTTTCAGTAATAACCTGTATATACTGCACTGTCATGGAGTCACAACAATGTTGTTCGTTCTGTTCATATGTATTATAGTCATGTATATACTTTCGTGTTTTATGACTTTAAGCCCTGAAAAGGGCTAGTGGCCTACCCCCTTCCGGGGCCGGGCTCACCAGTGTCCAGTGCTGACACTTTTTGCCCTGGCGCTTGGGCCTATTAACCCCCTGGTATCTCACCACCTTAGCCGGATGTTATCTTTTGATAACGTTGCTATCCAGGGAGGCGCTTAGCCCTAGGGCTGGGCTTTTGGTCATGGAGCTGACCTTTATTTCCTGACCTTAAGACCCTTTGGTTGGCTTTGTATTGTAACAGAG